TAATGTAAAGCACAGGGATTCTAGTTAACAATCACTGTATTGTATATTTGAAAGTCGCTAAGAGAGTAGATTTTAAAAGTTCTCACCACAAAATAAAAATTGTAGCTATGTGAGGTAATGGATGTTAACTAATCTTATTGTGGTTATTATTTCACAATATTGGCATATAACATATCATTACATTGTATACCTTAAACTCACAGTGTTATATGTCAATTATGTCTCAATAAAGCTGGAAAAATGAATTTCATCTAATAATTAAATTTTTAGATTAAAAATCTAAAAACATAGGTTTTTCTATCTGATGCATAAAATCTGGGTGTGGAATTTTTGATGTATGGCATGGGGCAGCGGGGTTTAAGCAAGAAATCTGGGAATGGGCCAGTGGATTATCAAAGAAGATATAGGTTTCAAACAAGAGAACATCTTGCTCATCTCCTTGACTCCATGAAGTATTGCTCTAGAGGCCTGAGGCATAAAGAGAAGAGGTTAAAAGCTAATCTTATGCTCTCTTTCCTGGTGATGTTTTTTCCTCGCTACCCTCTCTTATTGCATGAGCAATTATTATGTTGTCGTCGGGAACAGAGTTGGTATGAAGGGTATGGCTTAGAGAATATTTGGGAGAAAACTTTGTGGGAGCCTTATACTCTTTTTTTGTCTGACTCCCACGGCAGGGGACAAAGTTCTAAAACCAATGACACCTTGTAAAATTCTGGCTCCCACAGAGATTGATGACCTTGTTTCACGTTTTGTGAAATTCCAATAGAGCTGAGACTATGGAGACAGGTACCCTGGTGGCCATCCTCTTCACTTAAAATAGAAATCACATGAGTCATTTCTAAGCCGTGATTCTCCTCATTCACCACTCTGGCTAGAGTGACTGAGAGTTGTCCCTCCTGAGCAGAATACGATGAGCCCATTCTATTTTCAGACGAAGCCCCTGAGCAAAAAGGCCTTCTGTGTCTTCTGGAAAAGCACAGAGGAAGGTGGCCACTGGTCCACGGATGGTTGTTTCCCGATACAAGTGAACAAGAGTCATACTACATGCAGATGCACCCATCTGTCCAGTTTTGCAGTCCTCTTGGCCTTCACCAGCCAGGTATGATGTTAAACATTTAATTCCTCCAGCTAATCTTTTTTGAGCCCTTCTTAGGTGGTGATAAATGCTGTAAAAAAGTTAAAATGCGCAAGGGACTGGAGTGACCATAGAGGCACGCCGCTTTAGACAGAGTGGTCACAGGAGGGTTAATATTCAAGCTGAAATCTGAATGGTGAGAGTCAGCAGTGCTACAACATGGATGAATATGATGCTGAGTGAAGGAAGCCAGATGCAGAAGGATGCACAAGTGTATGATTTCACTTATATGAAATGTCCAGAAAAAAGGCAAATCCATAGAGACAAAAAGCAAATTGGTGGTTTCAGGGGCTGGGGGAAGGAAGGAATGGAGGGTAGCTGCATAATGACCCTGGGGTTTTATTTTGGGGTGATGAAAATGTTTTGTAACTAGATAGAGGTGGTGGTTGCACAACATTGTGAATGTACAAAACACCACTGAGCTGTCCACTGTAAAATGGTGAGCTTTATAGTATTTAGATTTTACCTCAATGAAAAAAAAAAAGTCAGTAGAAAAAGATCTCAGAAAGAGCATCCAAAGAAAAGACACATGTATGTGTAAAGACCCTGAACACAAGACAAATTCGATATGTTCAAAAAAAAAAAAGCATGGCTGGAACAGAGTGAATGAGAGGGAGTTGGAAGGAAACAAGGTTGGAGAGATGGAAGCAGAAGAAATGTGCCAGATGTTGAATGGCATGGTCAGAAATTTGGATTTCATTCAAATTGCAATGGGAAGGCAATGGAATATATCTACCAGGGATGAGGCATATTTATGTCATTAGAAGATCCCTCTGTCTCTCAGGTCAAAAATGGACAGTGGTCAAGAGTGGACTCACAGAGATATAATGGCCCAGATGACAGCAGTAGAGGTGGTAGGAGAAGGTCAGACTGGACATGTATCCTAGAGGTGGGGTTGGGGGACTTGCTGATGATATAGGCTGGGAGACAGCACACAGGAAGTCCTGCATCCCTCCCCTCTTCTCAGAGATGGAAGCAGTACCCCTAGAACAATATTTGGTGGAAATCTCTGACCTCTCCTATTACATAAGGCAGCCAAAATAGGTTAAAAACATAAAATACTTCTTTCATTCATCATTATATTTATGAAATTCAACAAGTGGGGCATAGCCTTAGTTCATTTATATTCAATGATGTAGAATATTCCATTGCATGACTATACTACAATGTGCTTATCCATTCTACAGTTAATGGGTATCTAGGTTGTTTTCTATTGAGGGCTATTAAAAGCAGTGCTACCTTTCTGGGATGAAGCGTAGACAATGTGGGACCTTAAAGGGTGATGAGGAAGCAACATACTCCAGATGGTGCGGCTACAAGATGGTGGGGCTTCTGTTATCATCGGTTTCCAAGTGACTCTGTAGAGCAGAGTATTGTTCCATCTATATAAAGTTGAAAAACGACACAACTAAACTGTATTATCAGGATTTTGTACACATAGGTGGTAAAACTACAAAGAAAAGCAAAAATTGCTCATCATAAAAGGATCATAGCTACTTCTCAGAGAGAAGATGGTTTGCAATTGGGAAGAGCTTCTGGGATAGAATCCACAGACTAGTTTATGACTAGAGTGTTCATTTAAAAGTTATTAATCATATGATATGTTGACTTTTATGCTTTTTTCTGTATGTGTGTTATATTTCATAATTTTTAAGGTTAAAAAAAAACAAAAGATTAAAAAGTTCTATAAAGTAATGTTGAAAAGAGTGAAAATCTCCATACAATTCTAAGGGATGGTGACTATCACTTCCTGTTAGTGAGTCTGGCTAAGTCTGCATGGCTCACCAGATCCCTGGCTCCAGTCTTTAATGAAATGAGTTTCCAAGAGCTGAATTAGACAGGGTGTCTCAGCAAATCCTGAGACAAGAATTTGAAAACAAGTAGCTCCTCTGGAAGCTGAGCCAGGACACATCAGTAGTACAGTAGGGAAGTGAGACGAGGAAGAGAAGGCAGCCAGGAAAGGATGCATTAAAGAGAAAGTTACCCCCATAGGCTCAATTCCATTGGGTGCCAACTGTTATTATTTAAAGGAAGCTTCCAGGGGCACTAACATCCTGGCACTTGTGACTTGCTCTGGCATATGCAAGCATACTTTCATGGCAGAGGAAATGCCATTAGGCAAGGTCACTGGGGTTCACAGAAAGCAGCCAAAGGGCAGGTACGGGTAAGTTTGAAGACATTAATAGCCTCTGCTGCATAGGACTTCCTGCGTCTCTTTGGGTGCAAGACTGAGTCTGGAGTACCCATTCATTTCAGCCTGAATTCTGCTATACGACAAGAGCATATAGTTAACAACAAAGAGTTGTACACTCAATAACTTATTAAAACGGCAGATCTCATGTTGTGTTCTTATCACATTTAAATTTTAAAAAGTGAGAGGTTGCAAGAAGTCTTTTGGAGGTACTGGTTGTTTTTTACCTTGATTGTGGGGCTGGTATCACAGATATATGCCTATCTCCAAACTCATCAAAATGTATGCACTCAATATGTACAATATTTTGTAAATTAGGTATACCTCAATGAAGCTAAAAAGAAAAGACTTAGTCTGACAGACACCTCTCACACTCTCCGTCATCCAGCTTCATGCCTGTGTTTGGGATGCCCTATTCCAGAGGGGGAAACCATAATCCCAGAGTAGGAAAGTGTGACTGATCTCCTCTTTGCTGGGTCCCAGGAGGAGGATCCCATCCTGGCTGTGATGACCTACGTGGGACTGAGCCTTTCTCTGCTGTGCCTCTTCCTGGCAGCCCTCACCTTCCTGCTGTGCAAAGCCATCCAGAACACCAGCACCTCAATCCACCTGCAGCTCTCTCTCTGCCTCTTCCTGGCCCACCTGCTCTTCCTCACAGCTGTCGACAGAACTGAGATCAAGGTACTGACACTGTCCCAAAGGACCCCTTTCCCTGCCCAGGGGATGCTGAATCCATGAAGCCATGCTGCATTGGACACCTTAATAAAATGGCCTCAGTTTCTGGGGGAGGTTGGAGGAGGTGGTGCCAAGGTGGGCAATGCTGGCATTGATTACTAAGCACCTATACTTTTGATGACCTTGGTCTAATGCCAGGTGCTCTAAACTCAGTGCCAGTGTAAAAGAGAGGTCCTAGGGCCACTCTCCGTCCTAACAATCTTCCCTAGTGACTCTTACTCCTCTCCCAGGTGCTGTGCGCCATCATCGCAGGTGCCTTACACTACCTCTACCTGGCTTCCTTCACTTGGATGCTGCTGGAGGGCCTGCACCTTTTCCTCACTGCACGCAACCTGAGAGTGGTCAACTACTCCAGCACGAATAGACTCATAAAGTGGCTCATGTTTCCAGTCGGCTATGGAGTCCCGGCTGTGATCGTGGCCATTTCCGCAGGATCCAGGCCTCACCTTTATGGAACGCCTGATCGGTAAGCTTGGCTGTCACTCTGTGCCAATGGACAGTTTTGGGGGGCAGTGTTAATGATTGTGATTGAGATATCCACAGCAAATGCAATCTGCTTTTCCCTTGAGTGTAATAGCTCTAACCTTTCCCAGTGAAGCAGGGAAAGATGGCAGTAAGAACATGGACGGTTCTGGAAGGAAGGAGTTTCATAGTTAGGTACCAGCTTTATCCTTCCCATATTTTGGAGTTTTCAAGTCTCAGTCCTCTCATTAGCAAAGTGAAGATAACAATTATCCCCATCGTCCAGCCCTCACGATGCTGGTGTGAAAATTCAACAGGACTGTGCTTTGATAGTAAACAATCAAAGCCTTCATTGTCCTCAACTGACAACTTCAGATGTTGGAAAACTTCTCTGTTAGGAAAAGGTGTCACTTCATGTTCGTTTCATGTGCTTTCTCTGATATTTCTTTGTTTCCTTTTTCCCATTGTTCCCAGCTGCTGGCTCCACCTGAAACAAGGATTTATCTGGAGTTTCCTTGGCCCTGTCTGTGCCATTATTAGTGTAAGTGAGTATATGGCTCCAGTGTTCCTAATTGAAGAAGCACCAGAAGTAATGGGTGCAAGATAGTACAAGGGGCATGCATTTTCTCTGTTGTGTGGTTTGATTTTTCTACCTGCTACCAATTCAATCCCAAGTTGTTTGCAACTTATAACAAAGACAGTACATTATTTTAACTTTCATTCTGCCTGAACTGTGTCATTCCTGCAGGTAAATTTAGTATTTTTTCTCTTGGTCTTTTGGATTTTGAAAAGGAAACTCTCCTCCCTCAACAGTGAAGTGTCAACCATCCAGAATATAAGGTAAGATGGAGCGAATAGTATTTCTGGCCCCCTCTTCCTTTGCTCACCCACTTCTTGTCCCTCCTACATAACCGCACACACATACCCTACAATCAGTCTTCAGAGACTAGCAAGGCCACTGTTATCTCTCAGTGTCATAATTAATAGAAGCTGTATTAGCTAAAGTAGAGGCTAAGCTGATGAAACAAAAAGATCTCCCAAAAAAAAGAGTGAAATAGAAATTTATGTTACTCTCATGTCACAGTCCAGAGGTGAGCAGTCCAGGGCTAGTAGGGAAGGTCTGTTCCACAAAGTGATCCAGGGACTCAGGTTCTATTTTGTTTCTCCACCACCCCCTAGAATGTTCTCTGTCAGTTTCCCATCCATGGGAAAGAGGTAACATCGGAGTTGCTCATATCCACATTAGCTCATATCCCATTGTCTTAGTCAAATGGTGACATCAAGCTGCAAGGAAGGCTGTGAAATATAGTCTCTAACTGGGTAGCCATGTGTCCTTGAAAAAACTCAAAGAGGGAAGGGATCTAATCCTAAAAAGAAGAGGAAGAGAATGAAAAAAAAAAAAACAGTACTTTCTGCCACACAACACAAGATGCACACAGGAGTACTCTTTTTATCAAAAATAACCAACTTAGGTTTGCTAATTCATCAGTTACTGAAAGCTTAAATTCTACAGAAACTCTAAAAGTTGCACTTCTGAAGTATGCCCCTAACAAAACTGGGTTTCCTCCAACCTGTAGAGACCAATTAGGCTAATTACAACAAACTTAAACATCTATCTAAGAATTGTGTGTAATGGGTTCAGGAAGGATTTAGATTAAGATATATTTTGTAGAATACTATTTCAAAAAATTGGGGATTATGAACATTTTTTTATTTTGCAGCTCCAATTGGAACACATAATTTGTTTTCCTTTTAATCACAAAAATGACATGTTAAATTTTTTTCAAAATTTTTCAAAATATGTAAAGTGAGAAGTAAAAATGGATAACTGCCCCCCTTTTCCTGATACTTCCACTTCCCAAAAAAGCCAGAATTAACTAACTTTAGGATAAGTATGCTATGATATATACGAGATTTTCTCTAGCCCTTTTTCTGTGCATTTCTGTAGAACACACAGACATACATACAATAACATCACACTACACAAATTTTTCCTCAACCAGCTTTTACAACATAAAATATTATAGTTCAAAATTAGGGATATATATACACATATGTGTGTGTGTGTGTGTGTGTGTGTGTGTGTGTGTGTGTGTATAGCGTCCTTAAGTCTCAGTTTGCCTGAGACAGTCCCAATTTATATCTGTCAACCCATTGTAATTATTAATAGCACTCTTTTAATCTCAAAAGCCTCCCTGCTTAAATAACAAATTAGATGACCTCCCCCATCTATAAAAAATATACAGAGAGAAAGAGATAAAGAGCACCTAGTTTGGAAATGCTTTATGTATATATGGTACTGATTTTGTTCTACATATTGTCCCAGATACTTTACTTATGTAGTCTCATTTAATCTTTGCATCAGCACTATGAAATAGGGCTATTACAAGATGAGGGACCCAAGTTACAGAAAGGCAAAGTGACTTGCCCAGTGTCATACAGACAGTCAATCAGTGATGCCTTGGATTTAAACCGAGGCAGTCTAGCTCCAGAATCCTCACCATTAACAACTGCACTATGAGGGTGTCCATGCCCATTATTATCTTTTATACATTTTTTATTTTACTCCCCTCAGGATGCTGACACTCAAAGCGACAGCTCAGCTCTTCATCCTGGGCTGCACGTGGTGTCTGGGCATCTTGCAAGTGGGCCCAGCTGCCCGGATCATGGCTTACCTCTTCACTATCATCAATAGCCTTCAGGGCTTCTTTATTTTCCTAGTCTACTGCCTCTTCAGCCATCAGGTAAACATTGACCCCTTTCTTTATTGTTTTAAAGTTAAGAAAAATTTGCAGATATGTAGTTTAATAAACATTTAAATCAATATTCTCTAAATTTTCATATGAGCTTGTGAGCAGTGTGTAAATACCACCTATATTTTCTCTACATTGAGATGCTATTGATTGTAAGATACATCAATTCATTAATGGCTTTCAGAAAGTAAATAATTACTACATTAAGAAAATATACTTTTTTTCAGAGTTTTCAGAGTTCCCATTTGTAATAGTCAGCTATTGCTGTATAACAAACAATATCAAAAATCTCAGTGGCTTAAACACGAATATTTACTTTTCTCATTCTTGAGTCTGCAGGTTGGTTGGAGTTCAGCTGATCCTGGCTGGGCTCAGCTTGGATTGGCTTGGCTCTAGAATGCAGATCATATTCATGTATGCTTTTTGTGATTCCTCCTGAGGCTTAGAAGAAAGGGAAGCAGTTCCCCAACATTCCCTAACATAAGTTCTTCTCATTACAATGGCAAAATCACAAGAAGGCAAGCCATACTGGGCCAGGCCATTGCAAGCCTTGCAATTCTGTTTGCAGCACCTCTGCTGATATCCCATTGGACAACAAAGTCACATATCCAAGCCCGAAGTCAAAAGAGAAGACCCCTCCACCTATCATGAGGCTAAGACAAGATATAATACTACAATAGAAGAATGAATAATTGAGATCAATAATACAATCTCCCACACTGCTTAAACACACAATTCTCTGTGGTAGTATAGTCTCCATACTAACATGTTTTAATGTCTGTCAACCCATTATAATTATCAATAGCACAATGATATTATGTATCTACAATAATATTACATAATAAGCTAATTTTCCCAACTTTTTACTGTGAATATTTTCAAGCATACAAAAATGTTCAAAGAATTATGCAGTGAACACATATGTAGTAAGTCCTCAACATGTTGATAAGGTCGGCAACTTTAAGCAAAATGATGGAGAATGAAACCAATTTTACATTAGGCTAATTGATGTAAACAAGAGGTAAGTTCTCACAGCATCTCATCAACGTTACAACAAAACAATGAACAAAATATTATTTGAAGACCTGTGGTACACCAATCACCTAGATTAACATTGTGCTGTACTTGCTTTATCACATCATCTATCCTCACATCCATCCTTATATCCATCCATTCAACTATCTCTATATAAGCCACTGTCACTTACATGTATAGTCAAAGAAAATTGTAGGCAACTCTTCTCAGTGGCTGCATGCACCTGAGTGAGCACAATGCAAAAGACTTATTGTACTCTTCCCTCAGTTCATCCCAGTTCCTGAGGCACCGCATAGTGCTAGCTTCCAGTTTTTCAAGATATATATTTTATATTCAGTATGGCTACTAAATACGAGCCAATTCATGTGTCTGCAGCTGAACAAAGGAAACAGTGGTGTATGTCCGATGCTCAGGAAGCACTGACTCTTAGGGCTTATTGAGATAAGCCTCTAAGATGGTGACTTACTAAGAGGCACTCAGGGATAATTTGGACTGCATGCTATCTCTAGAATTGAACCCTGGGCACCATAAGACCCTAATGTATACTAGCAAACTATGTTGACATATTTCTACCTAGATTTAGTTAAATTATACTACATCTATAGAACAGGATACTATGCAATTATGAAATTTAATGCCACAAAAGGCAGAAACTCAAGTGAAGCTGGCATCCACACGGTCCAGGTCAGGAGGTACGATGGCCAAATAAACATAGTCTAGCAACCAGAAGAAACACAAAATCACTCAAGGTCTTAATTTATACTTCTCAAATACCATGAAGAAGACACATATTTCATGGTATCCCTTTTCTGAGTTCAGCCACTAAGATTTTGAGATTGTTTGTTACTGCAGCAAAACATGTCCTGACAGATGCACTTTCTTTCCTAGTAGTAGTGCTATTCTCCTGCTCCTCCTCCTCCTTCCACCATTCTCTCTCTGTCTCTCTCTCCCCCTTTCCCTTCATCCTTCTTTCTCTCCCTCCCTGCCTACCTTCTTCCCTTCCTCTTTTTTTTTTTTTATTTACTCTGCATCCAGGTTCCCAAAGAACAAAACTAAGAAAGGAAGAACATATCCTTGGTGGGTGAGGAAAATGAAGGAACTAAGCTGACAGATCAGATACTCCCCAGAGAGCAAAAGATGAGCATAGGCTTGGAACATTCAAATGTTATTTTTTGTCCAGACACAAGAATATTTTAGGACTGGGAGGATATTCAAAATATATTAGTGAAAAAGCAAGTTAAAAACATTGCTCCAGAAGGGTTCCATTTTGTTTACATAATGTATATAAACATTTATTGTTTGTTTTTGCTATATATTTGTCTATGGGTGGGTATGGGTGTATATGGCAACATACAGTGGTTCTCAAAAGATCCTCCCAGCAGGCATGTTTAGTCTAGGGACATTTTTGATTGTCATGACTGGGAGCAAGGAGAGGTGTTACTGGCATCTAGTGGGTAGAGGCCAGGGATGTTAAATATCCTACAGTGGATGGGACAGGCTCACCACAAAGGATGATCCAACCCAAGATGTCTATAGTGCCAAGGCTGAAAACCTTGGTGTAGCAGATACTGTTGATGGCCCCTTCATATCTCTTTAGCATTCATCTCTACATGCCCAGTGTTGCTTATTGCAAACACCTGTGACTCTGTGCTTTATTACTGCCCACAGGACATGCCTGGTCCATGCACAGGACAAGCTGGTAGTTACAGAGAGTAACGGCCCTTAACAGCAGCCATCAACCAATGACTGATGGGATATGGTAGATAAATGGCCCAGATCCCTTGACCTTGAGGTGGAATGACTCTGAGGTGTATGCTATGCTATCTCCCAGAGCTCCCCAATGGTACCAAGCCCCAGTTTTCCACAGCAGAAACACAGTGGAAAGGATTATACACTTTTTAGTGGCTGCCTTCCCTTCCCTATCTCACTTTCCCACTGATCTACTGGTGTTTCCTGGGATCACCCCTCAAGTAAACTCTTTATGCTTGAACCCTCTCAGGGTCTGCTTCTGGGGGATCCCAGGCCAAGACACATGGAAGGATACCACCAAAACATCAGTTATTTTTCACTAGATTGAGGAATTACGTGCATATTTTATAAGTTTTCTACAACAAAGACATATTCTGTAATATGAAAAAAATAATTATGGGAAAATATACATAACATAAAATCTACCATTTAACTGTGCTTAAATGTACAGCTCACTGGCATTAAGTACATTCACATTGTCGTACAACCATCACCACCACTCACGTCTAGAACTTTTTCATCGTTTGAAATTGAAACCCTGTACCCACTAAACAATAACACCTCATTCTCCCCTGCCAAGCCCTGGTAACCACTCTTCTACTTTCTGTCTCAATTTATTTAACTATTAGAAGGATCTTATATATGTGAAATCATACTAAATTTGTCCTTTTGTGACTGCCTTATTTCACTCAGCATAATGTCTTCAAGATTTCATCTACATTGTAGCATGGGTCAGAATTTCATTCCTTTTTTTCTTGTGCTTTCCATTTTTTTTTAATTTTTATATTTTTATTTTTTCAATTATAGTTGATATATAATATTATATTGGTTTCATGTGTACAACACAGTGATTATTAGACTTTTATATAACTTATGAAGTGATAACCCCAATAAATCCAGTACCCATCTGACACCATACATAATTATTATACTACTGACTATATTTCCCATGCTATACTCTACATCTCCATGACTATTTTGCAACTACTTTTTTAAGTCTGAATAACATTCCATTGTATATAAGACCACATTTTATAGGAAAAGTTTTTTTCATAATGTCACTATCCTCTTCCCAACTCAGGCTTTTCTCTTCTCCGATGTTAACAAAACCATCTGTTTATTTTCTTTGATGTTCCAGGTCCGAAAGTGGTTTGGAGACATCATGAAACCTAAATCTGAGTCTGAGTCTTATACACTTTCCAGCAGGTTTGGCCCGTATTCAAAATCCAGTGAGGTAAGAAGACTAATATTTAACCCCTTGACACCCAAACTTCTTCTCTTTGTCTTTTTTCAATTATAGCTGACATTCAATATTATTTTATATTGGTTTCAGGTGTACAGCATAGTGGTTAGATGTTTATATAATTTACGAAGTGATTCCCCAATATATCTAATACACACCTGGCACTATACATAGTTATTATAATATTATTGACTATATTCCCTATACTGTACTTCACATTCCCATGACTATAACTACAAATTTGTACTTCTTAATACCTTTCCTTTTTTACCCAGCCCCCAACTCCCCTCCCATCTGGCAATCACCAGTTTGTTCTCTGTATCTATGAGTCTGTTTCTGTTTTATTTGTCTATTTTGTTCTTTACATTCTACATATAAGTAAAATCATATGGTATTTGTCTTTCTCTGTCTGACTTATTTCACTTAGCCTAATACCCTCTATGTCCATCCATGTCATTGCAGATGGCAAGATTTCATTCCTTTTATGGCGAAGTAATGTTCCGTTGTATATATGTACCCTTCTTCTTTATCTAGTTATCTATTGATGGGCACACAGGTTGTTTCTGTATCTTGCTATTGCAAATAGCACTGCAGTGAACTTAAGGTGCATATATCTTCTCAAATTAGTGTTTTAGATTTATTCAGATAAATACCCAGAAATGGAATTGCTGGGTCATAAGGTAGTTCTATTTTTAATTTTTTGAGGACCCTCCATACTGTTTCCCATAGAAGCTGCACCAATTTGCAATCCCACCATCTGTGCACGAGGGTTCCCTTCTTTCCACATCCTCACTAATACTCGTTTGTTGATTTATTGATGATAGCCATTCTGAAACATAGAAATTTGTATTTCTATGATGATTAGTGACATTGAGCATTTTTTTATATGTCTATTGGCCATGTATGTCCTCTTTGGAGAAATGTCTATTCAGGTCCTCTGCCCATTTTTCAATTGGATTGTTTGGTTTTTTGATGTTAAGTTGTATGAGCTCTCCTTGTCTTAATATGGGCTCCCCATCCTGGAAGGTAAAGAGAAGACCTCTTTTCCTGATTACCTGCTTAGCAGTCCTCATTCTCAGCTCACTACTGATCCAGCTTACTAATAGTGCTTAAACTGACTTGGTAAATATTCTGGTCATTCAAAGAAGTGTGGGTAAAACATACCACCAGCACCACTACCATCTAGAATAGACTCTTTTGGGAAGAGACTTACAATCATAGACATAGCAGAGAGGTCATCATCTGAAATCCCACTATTTCATAGAAAGGTCGATGTGAGCCCAATGGAGTTGGTGGATACCATAGAAAGGAATCAAGGAGAGGGACTCCACCCTAGTTGCTCTACATAATTATAGGGGAGGAATGTATGGAATAATAGGACCTTCCTGGGAAAGGAAATGGTCCTGTTAGAAAGGGAACTTCTCTGGAACTTGGTTGTTGGTATTTGTCTGTCTTCTTTTGAGCTAACTCAAGCTAAATGCACCAGAGAATGAGCTTCTAGCACTATCTGAAACTCCTCTTCATAGTTGTCCCTTATTCTTATAGAGAAATAAGAGGACTTTCTTAAAAGAAGCTATTCACTATATGAGCAAAATAGGCTCAAAGTTCAAAATACATAAAAATTCTCCCAATCTCATTTAGTTTTATGCTGCCCATGCATACTCACCACATTTGCTAGCCAAAAAGCCTTAGAATATGTTATTTTTAAGCTAAACAAAGTTGAGAAATTTTTGATACATTATCTTCTACATTTATTGAGATGATATGTGATTTTTCTCTAACAGTGGAAATATTAAGGTCACTGAAGAAACATCTGTCCCCTATTAGAGAGAGGTAAAGGAATTTCATTTAAAATTTTTCCAAAATGTCCAAGAAGAAAACATGACCGGGGGAAAAAAAGTCTTGGATATGTTAAGTGATTAGAAAAAAACTTTACTAATACTAGGCTTAATTATTCTCGATAAGAGTAAAATTGTAGTAGGTGCTAACCATTGGCTGTGACCTTTGAAAAGTTTCCCAGATAATCCAAAATAATTCCCAAAGCTGCCAGCACTGCAGCTACTGTTTTCTCACAATGAATAAGGAAACATTATTATTATTATTATTATTATTATTATTACATCTTTTCTAAATTGCATTTAGCTAAACTAGTGGTACTAAATTTAAAAAAAAAATTACGAGTTCTAATACATTTTGCATATATTATATTTATTTTTTATACTTTTAATATATATAAAACACATTAGCACCCTTTAAGAAATATATTTTCTTTAATTTAAAAACACCTCTTGAGCTTTTATTTTTCTAAGCACAGAGTATGAGTAAAAAGCTAACAATACCCTTTCTATGGACAAATGTGGCCTTGAGTTAACTTTCTAGCTTTGTCCCCTATAAACTTAATAATATTGGAAGGTCAGTTGTGTAACCAGGCAGTATTGTCTATGGGGAAAATCATGCTTGACTGGATAGAGAGTTCTGTGAAGAAACCATAAATATTAGTAGGGAAGGCATGGCTTTGGACTTCTTGCATACAATGACTCACATAACTGAGCCAGGAACTCATAGCCTCATGGGCTGCCACAGGAGGTATTGGTTCCCCTATGGAGTTTAGGGCTTCTAAACCAAGTTGTAACTTGTAGAGAGCACAGAGAATATTAGTTGAGTTCTACAATGTATCAGACACTATGGTAGGAAATGGACATACAAAAAGCCAACACAGTCCCTACCTTCAGGGAGCCTAGAATATAGCCTTTTTCATAGACAAAAACCAAGATCCAGGAGGCTGAAATTCTCAAGTGAGATACTATGTCCAGAAATTTTTCAAAGAAAAATTCTTCCTTGATTTTTTATGTCTCCCATTATAAGCTAAAAATGGCCACACCTGTCCTAGGATTCCAAAATGTTATGAGATCGTGCCTTCCTTGCCTGCTGGAAGGAGCTCTCTGGCTTTAACCCACTCCTGCTCGTCATTCTCTCTGTTTTGTTGTTTGTTTTATCCTTATATCTACCTTTAATCTAAGCATCTTTTTGGGGGGTGGGGCAGGGTGGGGATGTCTTTCCAGGACAAGTGAAGAGAAAATATTAAAATTAGAACATTCAGCTCCACGTGGAAAATTATACCCATGGATCTGGTTGGCATCATGAAGAATTAAGCTGGGGACAAGGAGAATCATAACACATATCATTCTTGGAGATGTTTAACCTTTACTTCTTAAAATGTTTCTTCTGTATAATGGGCTCTCAATAAATGTGTCTTGAATTGGATTTCTCTTCACTATGGCATGTTCAATTAATGCTTGCCCCTGATTATCCAAATCATGACAGTTGCAACTACTTTTTGTAAATGAGGTGGTCCCTTTCAAAACCTTTCCTCAAGTTCTTTCTCTCAATCATCCTGAATTTGCTCTTTAAACTCGTCCATTCCCTGAAACCAACAGTTATACCTCCTATTTTATCCGGGCTAGATCTCATGATCAGCTATGTCATATGATTCTCTCCCACACTTTCAACACCTTTGCCTTCTCATTCTGATTCCACACCTACCTGCCTAAACTCAAATCCAGGACTGACCTAAAAATGGCAGGCACTGTTCATTGTCTACTCAGCAGCCATCGCCACTATCACATGTTCCTTATTAACAGTACCTTGATTGTTTTCTGATTTGGGACAGTAATGTGCCTGAATCCAGGGGGTCAATTGAGATTGGTCTAAACCTAGTGCTACTCAGCTGGGGGTGATTCCCCCCACAGGGACATTTGTCAATGTCTGGAGAACATTTTTGGTTGTCATGACTTGGGCAAGGAGAGATGGTACTGACATCTAAGTGGTAAAGGCCAGGAATGCTGCTAAACACCCGGCAATGCACAGGGCAGACAACACATACAGAGCAAAGAATTATTCATCTCCAAATGTTATTAGTGCTGAGGCAGAGAAACACTCTATAACAACCATAGTGGTCTTATACTTAGATGCTAGACATTGGTTTAAGATAGGCATTTGGGCCAATTTTGACTAATGAGATATAAGAAACCTGCTTGAAAAATATGTCTTTTCCTTGATAAAAACAAACACAAATTTAAGTAGAGCCTACCCATGACTTCCTATTTTGGGCTATTATCATGTAATAAATAATATGATGCTTGGAGAGAAAATGTCATTGTAATACTAAGGATGAAAGAGTGGAAAGATGGAGATAACCTGGGCTTTTATGATATTGTTGATTTGCTGAACCAACCCTTGTACTTTTTCCTATGTAAGACAAATAAACTCTATTTGTTAAGCCACTTTGGGTCAGGTGATGTTACTTACAGCCCAAAGCAGCTTTCTTTGTGGACAATGTTTGTCCTCCACTCCTCCATCAAAGCAGTAAGATCCCAGAATCTCTCAGCTTGGAGCCATTACAAATATATGCTTTCTGATCTAAATAAGACCCTCCACACTACCTGAAACTTATTCTTCCTGTTCCTAGTCAAGTTTCTCAATGGGGAGTTCTTGTTTTCACTTCCTCAATTCTTATCACTTTAAACACCAACTAATGGAAAGTCCCTCAATTTTCTGACATCCCTTACAAATATGCCTACATCCACACCCATCCTTGCTTTCTTCCCTCATCAATGCCCATTGTCTCCCTCTCCATTCTTCCACAACAGCAGAAGGGTCCCTCCTCTTGTTTAAAGCTAACCTTTAAACCTCCCTCTGTGCTTTGAATCTTGTCCCCTCCTGTCTCTTTAGCAGATCTTTCTCCACTGATTATCTCCTGTCTCTCCAGAGTCTTCAACCTCTCTCCATTCTCTCTCCTGGCTCTTCTCCAGTGTCATTTAAATATGCTAAAGCTGGGTCTGCAAACTTTTTCTGTAAAGGGCCAGATAATAAATATTTTAGGTTTTGAGGGCCATATATAGTGATAGAGATGATAGATGATAGATAGATAGATAGATAGATAGATATAAATTCATAGATACACACATGACATATATGGCATATGGGTAAAGGAATATGTGTATGTCCCTTTAGAAATACAAAAACTCACTGGACATTCAAAAAAAAGGCTGCAGGTGGGATTTGACACCCCTCCCCAACCTACGGTTTGCTTTCTCCTATGCTAAAGAAAGAGAAATAGAAGATTCCAGGAAAATGGCTACCTGTACATAACTCAATTCCCCTCCACTCCATACCCTAATATATCTGCTCCTTGAACCAAAAGTCTGCTGGGACCCATGATAAATGAATTGTAAATCTGGGGTTTAAAGTTCTCCCCTGCACAGTAGGTGGAGAGTCCCAAGATAAGCTGAAGAAGGCTCTGAAGATCAGACACAGTCCATCCTAGGAAGAATCTGGCCCAGGGGTCCATGGACCTCCTGGGATAAGGTCAGCATCACTCCCATCAATGTGTGTCTGATTCCTCTGGCCCCCCAAGAACTTCAAGAGGAATCCTGTTCCTGAGTCTAGGAAGAAGCAAGGGAATTGGGAAGCAGAGAGTCCCCTCTGCACCCTGCCTAGTGTACACTTGGACACTCTGAGGTGGAGAGGAAACTGCCCCTTCTTAAAATTCTCAACCCCCAGATTTGAGCCCCAAAGGAAAATGACACCCATGAGAGGCCCTAAAGGCCCCTAAAAAGAGAATAGATGGTCCAACATAAAGGGCACCCAGCAAAATAATGCTTCTAGAGTAGACAAACAAAAATTTCAAACAAGAATAATGAAAAAAGAATGTAAGGAAATTCAAGTACAACAGTGAAAAGATCTATGGAACTTAAATAAATGAATGAATGAATGAATGAATGAATGAATAAATAAATAAGAAAAGAAATGTTGCTGGATGAATTAAAGAAGAGAATGATTGCTGTCAAGTCAAATTAGCCAAATTAGAAGAGCCCATGAAAGGAAGATCTTAGAGCATAATACAAAATGCCAAAAGATGAAAATCATGAATTAAAAAAAATCAGTCTGGGAGCCCAAGGAGATCTAATATGTGAATAATAGGAGATTTTGTAAGAGTAGAGAAGGAAACATGTTCAGAACCAAAAAATTCTTACTGCTGCAATAAGCATTCTCTCTCTTTCTCTTCACAGACAAAATTCTAAAAAAGTTGTTTACACTCTGCTGTCCTGACTTCCTCCCATCCCCTCACTGCTCAATCCACTGCAGTCTGACTTCTGCCTCCAACTTGCTCAATAATCACTCAATGTCTCAAATGTTTCCTCAGTGCTAAGTCCACTGGCTGCTTCTCAGTCTCTTTGGGTCGGTCACATTTAACTCTGTTGTTCCCTTTTTCTTTTTTTATAACCAAGTATTTTTGGTTTTGTCTAGCTTTATTGAGGTAAAGCATATAAAAATTGCATATATTTAAGATGTGCAATGTGATGGTCTGATCTATGTCTGCATCATCCCTTCTCCTTGAGGCTTTCTCTTCTCTTGACTTCCCTGATTCCACACTGTTTTCCTGGAAGGGTGGTCAGCTCATCAGAGTTTTCCCAGACTTTCCTAGCGTTGGCACTGAAAGTCCCACATCCCAGGAACTCCTCCCTCCCGAGCAAACCAGAACCATGTCATAAGCTCATCTTCTCTTGTCCTGTAGTGTCTTAGTTTGGGTTCCACCAATAGCAAACTCTGAGACAAGGACATGAGTGCAAGAAGTTTATTTTGGAAGTAATCCCAGAAAACACCAGCAGGGTGAGTTAGGGAGGGAAAGGCGGTCAGTACAAGATGTGTTCAAAGATAAATTATGGAGCAGGCTACTGCTGTAGGCAATGGGAACTTAATCTCAGCAGGGATCTCTGGGGCTATCTCATGGGACACACATCTCAGACTCTTCTCACCTGAGGGGTGAGGGAGCTGGGGTGTGTATTTACCAAGTCCAGGCTTTCATAAGGGCTGTTTCAGAAAGCATTTTCCCCCTGGCACTTCTCACCTGCCATGTGCCAGACCAGGTAGACTCTGGCAGCTGCTGACAGTAGGAGTCACTGAAATGTGAGGATCAAGGATATAAACAGGACATGACTGCATCTGCTACACACAAGATTTCATCCTTGACCCAAGAGAAGTTCTAAGAATTTTGACCAGAGTGTTCATGAACCACCTAAATTTCAAGGTGTTGTTTGTAAGTATTTTTTTTCCTTCCCCATCTCTAGGTGACAATAACTCCATCTTTCCTATTGCTTAAGCTGAAAACCTGGGGGTCATTCTTTACTCTTCTGTTTCTCACACACCCCACATCTCAATCAAACAAACCCCATTAGCTGAATCTTCAAAATAAATAGATCCAGATTGTAGAGACATGAAACTGCTTATCCACAACCTCTGAGCTCACACGTGAGAAGGGTGGAGCCCCGTGGCTTCTCCCTGAGCCTCCAAGCCACCGAGGTCTACATCAGCCCTGTGAAGTTCAACCTGGATTTCAGCGCATAGGATACCCAAAATGGAAAGAGCAGTGCTTCCGGAAGCGGCCGATACTGTGCATCCAGCTGAGGTTCCTGAAGGGCTGATTCAAGGGTATAAGCAAAATGAGACATTTCTGAGGAAAATCCACCAAGGGCTGCTGGAGGTGGCTGTATTGGAGGGCACCCTGCAATGTCCAGCACCTGGACATGTGTTCCCTATCAGGCACAGGATCCCCAACATGTTGCAGAATGAGAAGGGAATAAGACCAGGCACCAGTTTTTCTTTCTGTGACTGTGTGTAGTTTTGTTTATATATTGTTCATTAGTTTTATCATGTGTATCCCCAACTCTTAACCCAGTAACATGCCACACATAGTGTTCTTGAGCTCAATATTTTTTTTCTCATTAAAGGTTCAAACCGCTCCCCCTAAAAAAATAGATCCATACATCTTCCTACTTTCACAGTTAGCTCTCTTGTCCTCAATCATCTCTCGCCTGCATTATGGTGATAGCTCCAGGAAAGCCACACGTATTATTAGCAGACCCAGAATTCGACACCTGGTCTCTTATCTTAGCCCAAGATGTTTCTTCCACCAAACCACACTGTTCCTTTCCCATAATTGCCAGCTGAAATGAGAGCTACAAAGTCAGGGTCCTCAGAAATAATTCAAGTTTATAGACAGTCCCTCAAAGGCAGAAGGTGCTACAAAAAGATATCAACCATCAGAGGAACAGACTGAGTCCAAATACCAGCTCTGCTACTTATCCACTAAATGACAGTGAACAAACCATGACACCTCTCTGGACCTCAGTTTTCCCAGCTATAAAATGGGGTTAGTCATTATTGCAACCTCACAGAGTCATCGTGGAGATTAAATAAGAGCTCCTGCATCTATCTAGCACACAATGCATCCTTGAAAAACCATGGACTTTGTTATTTTTACCCCCCAAGAATGTTCGACCTCTGCTCCCATGGACCCAAAGTGGTAAAGGGGACCTCAGGTTTATCTCTCTACTTGAAACTAGACAATCTTGAGAGATGCGAAAGAGGGATAGGTTTGGGCCAGCTTCACCATTCACCCTCTAGCGTGACTCAGAGACATGACCACATACACCTGCTTCCCCATTTCTCAACCCACATACTGGGGGAAACTGAAATTTCCTCTTCTGAGATATGGGAACTTCCCCTGACCCCAGATAAACAGTTGCTTGAACCAATGGTCCCGTGGGTGGAAGACTTGGAACAAGACGCTCGCCCGCTCTGCAGTCTATGGACTGTATATGGGGGCTAGCGTTGGTGCTGGTGAGTTAGGAGCAGGTGTGTAGGTGGCAGGAGACAAGGATAGAAGGAACAGGAAGTGACGTGAACACCAACCTTCACCAATGCCCCCTCATTGCTCAGAGCTTCCTTTCCCTAATCACCTGCTCTGTCAAAACAGGAATAATTCTGCTATTAATCATGGTTATTCATTGATCAATAAATTGATTTGAAAATAAACAAACAAACAAATTGATTTGGAGAATGTCTACTCACCCTTGGATACAATTTAGGGATTGTCCGAAGGAATTGCCATATTGAGTATGCCGAACTAGGGGTAGTACCAGCTATCTAGGGTATGTTTTTGGTTGTCACAATGACCAGGAGGGGGCACCTCTCCTGTTACAGGCTCAATTGTGTTCCCCCCAAAAATTAATGTGTTGAGGTCCTAACCTCAGTACTTCAGAATATGACTGTATTTGGAGATAGGGTCTTTAAAGAGGTGATTAAGGTAAAATGAAGTCATTAGGGTGGGCCTATTCCATTATGACTGGTGTCCTTATAAGAAGAGGTGATTAGGACACAGACACACACAGAGGGAAGACCATGTGAGGACACAGAAAGATAACAGCCATCTACAAGCCAGGAAAGGTCTCACCAGAAACCAACCATGGCAACACCTTGATTTTGAACTTCCAGCCTCCGGAACTGTGAGACATACATTTCTGTTGTTTAAGCTAATCTTGCTACTTTATTATGGCAGTCCCAGCAAACCAACACAGTGGGCAAGGACCACACAATGAAATGGCATTTTGAGAAGCTATAACATTGCAAGAGCTAATAGTCCAAGGAGATTCACTTGGCAGTAAAGTGAAATACTTCATCAAAGATCTTTACAAACCACCAACAGCTCAGTTGGGTAGATATTTCCATTGCTGTCTTAAGAATCTGACCAAGTTATATGACCTGGGTGGGGGAGTCTTGCCTTTCAGCTGGTCTACCTTTCTAGAAGTTCCATGGGCCAAATCTTGGCAGAGGTCTGATCTACCACCTAGCTTGCTTAAACCTCACCTGGGACATTGAGAAAGTTGCTTGTCAATAATAATCTTGCTCTACCCGCTTTGCAGTATCTGGTCCACAGTCGGTGGGCAGTAAGGGAGCCCAGCCCTAGTGCATGACGGTCCAGAGAACCCCAGAGTATTTTCAGCTCTGGCTCAATCAATGCCAGACACAAAGCCCCCCAGGCTAGCATCACCTCCGAAGAGCCATGATCAAGGACCTGGTGATCATAGCCCCAGAACTGGGAGATCATCTCTAAGACCTGGTGTACATCCAGCTCACCATGAGCTGTAGACTGAATGTGCATGTGGCCCAAAATTCGTATGTTGAAACCTAACCCCCAGGGTGATGGCATTCAGAGGCAGGGACTTTGGGAGGTGACTAGGTCATGAAGGTGGAGCCCCAATAAATGGGATTAGGGCCTTTCTTTATAAAAGGGACCCCAGAGACCTCCCTTATCCCTTCTACCATGTGAGGACACTGCAAAAAGACAGTGCCCATGAACCAGGAGGTGGGCCTTCACCAAACATTGAATTTTCCTGCACCTTGATCTTGGACTTCCCCGGCTTCCAGAACTTTGAGAAATATATTTCTGCTGTTCATAAGACACCTAGTCTGTGATATTCTGTTATAGCAGCCTAAACAGACTAAGACACCATCCAACTGAACAAGATCTCAAGTCCTCATCCTAGAGATGGTCTGACCTACACTCCAGAGAACTTGCTACATCCAGGCTGCTTCTTACATCTTGGGTGCATCCAAGTCAGTTCATGGAGAGGCAGGGCCTTCAATGGAAGGGCAAGAGGTTCTCATCTCTGAGATCCAAGGGGCAATTGGATATAGATCTCCATCCAACCTTATCCTTGGGGTTCAACAGGAACATTTCCGCTCACAAATCCAATATGTAGCTTTGTTGCAAGACAGATCATTCCAGGAGCCACCCCTGTTCATGCTGGCACAGTCTTCATCATAATTGTTATTGGGCTCCTCCGGATCCCAGAAGCTGGATAGAAGAAAAAGTGGGTATGGGGAGGGGTGAATAGGTGAAGCACAGGGGATTTTTCCAGGGCAATGAAACTACTATGCTACATAATACTGTAATGGTGGATGCATGATAGCATGCATTTCTGAAAACCCATAGGATGTACAAAGCTTGGAGGGAACCCTAAGGTAAAGTATGGACTTTAGGTAATAATAATGTCTCTATATTGGTTCATCGATTATAACAAATGCATCCCACAAATGCAAGATGTGAATAACAGAGGAAACTGTGTGGGAAACTCTGTACCTTCAGCTCAATTATTCTGTAAAATTAAAAAAGCAAAGTCTATTATTTTTTTAAAAAGAATATTGGGAGGAAGATCTTCATGGTTCAGGATTCACTTCTTCAGCCTCTCAGAATTACCTGAAGATGCTTCACCCCCTTCACCCCAACTAGCTTGTCCTAAGTCAGCCCCATAATCTCTGTCCTCCTTAATCAGTTTCCTGTATCTAGTCAATTTCTGCCTCCTCTTCCAAATAATACTTCCTTTACACCCCTAATTCTCCCGACCTTCCAGGTATTGTAATGCCTTAGGTCATGTTCCCTTAAAGCAGATCTTGATTTGGCAATTCAGGTGCATGGGATTTATTAAAGGTGCTCTTGGGAGAGTTAGTGAGAGAAGCAGGATGGGGCAGGGGATGAAGGTGAACAACGTTGTGGATTCAGTTGAGTCTAGCCTCAGTCTGATCGCACAGAGAGCTCTGGAGAGTAAATAGCATCACAGTTATCCCAACTTGAGATAAGGTGTCCAGACTCCTCTTAGCCAGTCATTAGCTATAGGCTGACCCCAGTGAGAATAGGGTAACCTCCTGGGTGAGCAGTTCCATTCAGCTGAGGACAACTCTCTGGAGAAAGCATAACTGTGACCCTTTAGGAGCCAATGTCCCCTGCTGGGGAATGGCTGCACCAGTCCCATGAAGGGATCTGAGCTGGGCACTCACAGTGCCATGCCATATCATGCCATCTGTATTTACAGAGCTATGCCTCCTTCCAAGGATCTTTAATAAAAAATGAGATTCCTCAGACAAAACACTAATATCTCTAATATATAAAGAACTCCTAGAAATCATTAAGAAAAAGACCAAAATCACATTATAAAAAATACACAAAAGATACGAATGGATAATTCACATAAAAGTTAATACATATAGCTATTAAACATATGAAAAAATACCCAACCTCAGTCATTATAAGAGAAATGCAAATTAATGCTACATACGGATTCCATTTTTCACCTACAATTAAACAAACAAAGTTCCAAAAGGTTGATGAACATGTGCACCAAAAAACTACAGTCAAGATGGTAAGAGAATAAATTGGTATAACCAGTATGGGAGACAATTTGTTAATATTTATTTAACACATGAATACATATGCTCTTTGAGAAAGTAAAGTATAATGGCTAAGAATATAGACTTTGGAGCCAGGTTAATTGGTACTGCCACCTGCTAACTGTCTAACCTTGGGCAGCTCGCTTAATCTTTCTGTGCCTCAGTTTCCTCATCTTTAAAATGGAGGTGAAAATGGTACTTTCCTTACAGAATTATTACAACTAAATAAGTAGGTTAATATATGTAGAGTGCAAAAAAAATTGAGATAATGCTCATCCTTTTGGCAAATTAAAATCTTCCTCTTGTCCTGTGGCCACTCTATCTTTCTTTTTTCCCCCAACCATTAGCCCATGGACTTGATATATTTGAGCAGTTGTGCTAAAAGGTTTTGATTTTTGCAATGAAGGAAAATTAAAGAGGTACAGGGACCAGAAGCCCTATGACAGAAAAAGCACCCTGCGCCTCCCTTATCCTGCCCAGGCTGGGATTCTAGAGAATCAACTGGCTTGGACTGCACAAGGACCCACAATGAGCAGAGAACTCAAGAACCCAGGATACTTGCCTCAAAGTGATGGGTGACCCATCCAGCCATTTCCATTCCCCTTCGTGGTCCCTGTCACTCAGCCCCAGCCAGTGCACCCGTGGAGAGCGGTGAGCCTTGGACACAAAGTTCTGCAAGTATAAACTCCATTCAGCCATCAATTCTTCTACACAACCCTCAGGATGAAGATCTTTTCTCTGCTCTGTCCCACACATTTAGGGCTTGTGAATGCCATCCCCAGTACCCATCTCAGTCCCCATGGTGTCCAGAGCAGCATCAACACCTTCTCACTTGAGCATGTACAGTAGGAATAATCATGTTACTTTCTTACATGACCTGTGAACCTCTCTGCACCTCAGTTTTCTCATTTGTAAAATGGGATGATAATAGTAGCTACCTCCTCATAGGGTTGAGAGGATTAAATGAGTTAATATCTATATAAAGCGCTCAAAACAGTGTCCGGCATGCAGTAAATACTGTGACATCTTCGCATTTAACATTATAACATTTAAGAAATATTTTAATAATAATAACTGATGTCTTAATAAACCCATGACTATATGGTTATTTAATCAATGGCGAAGGAGGAAAGAACATGCAATGGAGTAAAGACAGTCTCTTCAATAAATAGTGTTGGGAGAACTGGTCAGATATATGCAAAAAAAAAATGAATCTGGACCACCTTCTTATACTATATACAAGAATAAACTCAAAATTGATTAAAGACTTAACCGTAATACCCGAAATCATAAAACTCCTAGAAGAAAACAGACAGTAAACTCTCTGACATTGCTCTTAGTAGTATTTTTTCTGATGTATCTTCTTGGGCCAGGTAAACTGAAGAAAAAATAAACAAATGGGACTACATCAAACTAAAACAGTTTTGCACAGCAAAGAAAACCATCAACAAAACGAAAAGACATTTTTGGGAGAAGACATTTGCCAATGATACATTTGATAGGGGGCTAATATACAAAACTTATAAAGAACTCATACAACTCAACACCAAAAAAAAAAAAATCCAATTTAAAAAATGGGCAGAGGACTTGAATAAGCATTTCTCCAAAGAAGACATTCAGTTGGCCAATAGACATATGAAAAGATGCTCAATATCATTAATCATCAGAGAAATGCAAATTAAAACCACAATGAGAAACCATCTCACATGTGTCAGAATGGCCACCATCGATACATCAAAAACAAGTGTTGGCGAAGATGTGGAGGAAAGAGAAACCTTATGCACTGGTGGTGGGATTGAAAGTTGGTGCAGCCATTCTGGAAAACGGTTCTTCAAAAAATGAAAACTAGAACTACCTTATGATCCAGCAATTTCACTTCTAGATTATCTGAAGAAAACCAAAATATTAATTTGAAAAGATATATGCAACCCTATGTTCACTGAAACCCTATTTACAATAGCCAAGATATGGAAGCCACCTAAGTGCATATTAATAGATGACTGGATAAAGAAGTGGTACGTATATACAATGGAATATTACTTAGTCATAAAAAATGAAATTTTACCATTTGCAATGACATGGGTGGACCTAGAGGGTATTATGCTAAGTGAAATAAGTCAGATAAAGAAAGACAAATACCATATGATTTCACTTATATGTGGAATTTAAAGAACAAAATAAACTAACAAGCAAAACGGAAACAGACCCATACAGAGAACAAACTATTGATTGCCAGGTGGGAGAGGGGTCAGGAAACTGGGTGAAAAGGTGAAGGGATTAAGAAATATAAATTGGTAGTTATAAAATAGTCATGGGGATGTAAACCACAGCATAGGGAATATAGTCAATAATATTGTAATAACTATGTATATTGCCAAATGGGAACTAGACTAATCGGGGGGATCACTTTGTAAACTATACGAATGTCTTAACATTATGTGGTATACCTGAAGCAAATATAAACTAATATTGACTGCCAACTCTAATTGAAAAATACAAATAAATAGATAGATAGATAGATAGATAGATAGATAGATAGATAGATAGATAGATATCGAGGTATAAAAAAATAAATAACTGATGTCTTGCTTTCCCTGGTACTTTCACCCCATCCTGCAGTCCTCATCTGCATCCAGGTAGAAAAGGAATTCATTGCTTCAGAAAAAGAATTTGAAGGGGAAAAGAAAGGAGAGGAATGTGGCTTCTTAGTTTTTCAAAAGCCCAGGCCTTTGGGAGAAAAGAAAGGACTTAAGCCAAAGAAAAGAAAGAAAATGTTATGATTAAAAGCAACTCCTCTGGTGACAAACTAATCTATGGTGAGAGAAACCAGATCACCACCAGTTGCCTGAGGTGGGAGTGAAGAGATGCGTGGAGAAGGACCCTAAGGGAACTCCCTGGGGTGGTGATTCTATACCTTGACTGGGTTCACAGTTACATGAGTGTACACACATGACAAAATGCACTGAATGTACATTTAGGATCCGTGCATTTTACTGTATACAAATCATAACTCATTCACCCAATCTTATTATAAGACTGAGATTTTCTAAAAGATAGGGAAGAGATTGCAAATGGAAGTTATGAAGATGTAGACATGATGGGTACCAGAGAGAGGGGCTCTACATTCATCCCCAGTTAATCCCAAGTGATAGCCAAAACCCCAGATGGGTTTGGAAACTCTAAGAAGTAGAGGAGACCTGTCCCAGAGAGGTTTCGGGGAATCAGAAAGACAAGGGTGCTCAGAAAATATCGGTTGAGTTAATAAATTATTAAGTGAGCTTTGCACTTTGCAGAGATTATCTCATTTGATCCTCATTATGACCCACTGAAGTAAGAACAGTTATCATCCCCGTTTTATAGGTGGGAAAATTGAGACACATAGAGGTTAAATAACTTGTCTGAATCATTGACCCAGCGGATGTTTCAGTGGATACCACCTTGTAGTAAAGGTATTGAGGGCCAGACATGTGGTCTCCTCCACCTTGACCCCACATAAGCTATCCATTCAGATGAAAAATGGAGGATCCTGACTGGCTGAGATTAAATGTCTACCATCCTGGTATAATAGAAGCTCAAAAGAATTAAATGAGTTATTTAAAGCAAACAAAGTTATATTTCTTGTGTACGTGAATTTAAGGAGTATAGTTTATACCTGCCTCACCTACATTATCTAATTCAATCCCCCCAAAATCCCTCTATATTAGCTATTCATACCAATGATGCCATAAAACAGAAGAATGAAAAACAAGAGAGGACCTACAGGAAAAAATAAAACAATAACCATAATAATAAAATTAATTTTATTATTTTAATAAAAATATAATAATAAAATAACTAATTGATTGATTAATCTTGATAATAAAATCCAACAAAATCAATAATAACAGTAAATGTAAATTGTCTAAAACACCTATTAAAAGCTAGAGATTGTCAGATTGAATTTTTAAAAAATAAGACCCAACCATATGCTGTCTATAAGAAATTCACTTTAAAAATAATAACATAGATACCCTAAAATTAAGAGAATTGGAAAAAATAAGCCATGCAAACACCTGGGTTCAAATCTTGGCTCTGACACTTACTAGTTTTAGGCGACCACAGGCAAGTTGAAAGTGCACTGTGCCTCAGTTTCCTCATCTGTGAAATACAAATATGTGCTGTGTACAAATGGTATTACTATCTAACTGTAGCAGTATTGGGTCATAAAATTATTTACAAATATTCCAATTCTCCTTTTAGATATGCACAGGTGAAACTATTTCCCTACCACCTTAAAGCATAGGAGTGTTCATGTGACTTGCTTTGTGAGTACACATAAGTGGAAGCTTTAAGAGTCAGTGTGATTTGCCCCATACACTTTTACCATTGAGCTATGGGGACTGTCTGTTAGTTTAGCATAACATAACATTTTCTGATTCACACATAAATTTGTAGGGTTGTTATGAGGATTATGTGAATGCATGTAAGATGTAAGATGTTTGAATACAGTCTGGAGAATAGGCAGTGTTACCTAAGAGATAGCCATTATTATCTACATGTTAGAGAGAAAACTGAGACACGCAGAGAATAAGTAAAGACAATCAGAATTTGAATTTACACAGAGCATACCCTCTTAAACCTCTGCATGATAGTATGTCAGTAAAAGCTCGCTATTTAAAGTCTTAGTTGCTCAAAAGCAATTCCAACTTCTTTCTAACCAGGCCAGGGAAGCAAGTATAATCTAGGAGAGGGGAAGCCTGGCCCTGATGGTTCTTAGAGGCTTGGAGAAGACAGCTCACCTGCTCAGCAATGCTACTGATGATGACCAAGTGAGAGTAATTCTCCTGGCAGAACTTCCGGGCTTCATCCCATGACTTGGTGCTTGTGGAGAAGTAGTAACACTTGCCCTCAAATAGAAGCCAGCCCTCAGGGCAAGTGACCCTGGTACAGTCTGGGAACAAGATAGACTGCAGTGAGAATCGATCCCATGGATTTGTGCAATGTACTGTCGCTGTCATGCCCCCCATCTCAAGACAGGCTCCCCAAGTCTCACTCACCTAACAAGCCCCGAAGTTCCACCAGGGACTGGTTGGTGTCAGCTCTTATACGGTCAATGTCCTTCTTCAGGCCAGCTAGCCCTGCCAGTCACTG